GCTACATTCAAAACTTTTGATTATATTATATAAACGAGATAAAAGAGAATATATGTTAAGAACAAAAATGTGTTAAACCTAAAACGATTAACAATATGCAACTAAACATAAACCATTAATGATATGAACCTAAAACTAAAAATTAATGATTTGAATCTAAATAATTCCGGCTATAGTTTTACACAGGTCGATAAAAAACTCTGATCACATGTAAATTTGGGCCCCAAAATTTCAGGAGCCCTATTTAAAATCTCACATTTAACATGTTAAGAAACGACCCTGTTGGATACTAAGGTTGGAGTTGCTATCATACATACCAATTTTTTTGGAAGTCTGTTAGTCACAAATATTTATGAGAAGCATTAAAAAAACATATTTTCTTACGCAATTGTAAATAAGGATTTTGAATATAGGTCCCCTTTTTTTAAATCTTCACTATCATAGATGTTCGAACAAATGATTCTTGAAGCAATTTTAGGACATCTTCAACTCAATCATTAAAACGATAACGCTAAAAAATGGTGATCTGTTCATTAAAAAAATCAACTTAAACCATATATTAAAAAAACACTAAAAACCAACTTTAATAATATAATAATAATTAACGTCTTAATATATTAAACTTTAATTGATATATAATTAAAAATTACAAAAAAAAAATATTATATATGTACTAAGAGACCTACTTTATTAACCTACAAGTATGGAGGCTAACATTTTGGATGTCTAATTTTTTTTTTGATTAACCTGGATATTCAACCTGCTATACGAGCCGACTAATTTCAGGACGACCACCTGCTTTGCAGATAGCCTGAAGTCACTGCATTTGAGCATCCGTGACCACAAGAGATTTTTATTCATCATTGGATTTGAAGCTGAGACTTCCTGATACTTTTGACCTTTGAAGGCAAGCTCAAACCAATCAGACACCACCTTTGTGGTTGATGTCCAATTTTTTAGTGTCTTAGAGTTGGGTTGGAGATGAAAATACCTCTATTTTGTGTTTTTAATGTTGGATTGGAGATGGTCATATATACAAAGTTTTTCAATGATTCTTTATATTTTTTGAAAAAAACCTTTGGTTGGTTGCATTGGAGGATAAAGGATATGTCTTAATGGATAATGGAAGTTCAAAATCTTTAAAAATAATTATGTGCAATTTTAACAGATTTTTTATTTTGAAGATTGCATCATTAATTATATTATTAAAATATTATACACATTTAATAAAATATTATTTCTCTCTCTACTAAACATTTCATTTCAATGTTTTTTTATTGGTGGAATATAATAAAAAATAACTTCTTTTCCATCGTAATCATTTTTAGAAAATTTTCCATATTTGGAAAAATATACGCTCTATATTATTTTCTTCATTTTAGAGAATCTGTTAGATCACAAAATCGTTCAAAATCCTCATTTTGAAAAATCTGATGAAGATGCTCTTATGCAATAAGTCGTTGAGAAGTAGTAGCTTTTTCAAATTTATTTTTAATTTGTCCATTTTCCTCGATCATATTTTCATTTCAAACATCTGTTACTTTATTAATAAATTAATTTAATTTATTAAATATCCAAAATAAAAGTAATTTTTTATAACCAAATAGATTATTAAAAAGCTTTTGATAAGACAACTAAAATGATATCAATATCGAATATTAAAACATAAAAAATCATATAATATTTATATAAAAGTACATGGATAAAAAAATTATAGATTTTGGATACGATGAATTAATGGTCAATATAACGTGTTTATGATGGTTCTTTATGAATTTGCCGTAGTTCTTTAGATAGAGTCTGGTCTCGCCTAACACTCATGCCCCTCTCATAAGAGGATCCNCCGCCCCCACACCTCAATGACCCCACCTACTTATCGTTCCTACCCGACCTTAGTTATGAAGGCGATAACTCATTATTGATGGTATAAATTCATGATCCGAACATTAAGATAGAGTAAAGCACACAAGCAACTAAGAAAGAAGGGATTGGAGCAACGTTTACTGTACCTGACACGCATCTTGACCTAAATTAGAATTCGAAATCTTAATTAACATTATATTTATTCAAATACTTTTATTTAAATAAGACAAAACATCAACTTCGCTTTTTTTACTTTTACTGAAAAAATATGATCCACGATTATTCATTAATATGTTGATGCAAATATAACATTTGCATGTTGGAGGTCTTTCTCGAAATATATTCTTTGACCCTTGAGACGGAGAAAACGTATCTATACATCAGATTATGTCTTACCTCCATAAACCCTATTTTTAAATAATACTAAAAACTGTTGGACCCATTAAACACTAAAAAATCTCAAACGAAAATAAGGTGGGTATAACGCTGAACCCTGTTTAAGCCCCTCGTCCCCGCCCCCTTCCTGACTAATCCTTGATAGGTTCGGCGAACCCGATGGCTACACGTTTAATAGAAAACACTGAAAGATGTATTTTAAAGTTAAAATTATAAGGAATTGTAACTGTATTAATTGCTAACAATGAAAATCAAATACATTTTTTATTAAATAATAAATGTGTATATATATATATTTATTTATTTATACACACGCTATATACATATATTAAATTAAATAAAAAATTAATCTGAGCCGGATTGGAGGCGGGTAGTATCATCCCCTAACCCATTCGGAACCCGTTTCGAGTATGAAAATAAATCTCCGTCCTCGACTCATTACCAATGAAACATGGGAATCCGCACCTCTTTAGGGACAAATACGTACGGATAAAATTTTCATCTCTAAATATTACTTGGTCCTTAAAATAATTTATTTGATGAACTTTTTTAAAAATTAGAAGTGACGATTCTTTTAATTAATAAAATCACATTGATGCTAATATTATATATTTTTAAATTTTGGTAACATTATTTCGTTAAATATTTTACATATGTATATTAAGTTTATTGATCGAAATTATAACATAATTATCATTTTTTATTTACTAACCAAAAATGGAATTCTTAGATTTACTAAAGGACTATTTATCTAAATGTTTATCTATAGAACTCAACACTGTAATTTATTTTGATGAGTAAGATTTTAGTACATCAAAATGTATTGAATGCAATAATTTACCGGGTAAGTGCTTACCTGGGTAAGAGTCGTAATCTTCACTTACCGGGTAAGACTCTCCATCATTCCATCGCTCTTACCCAGTAAGATTCTTGACCCTTGTCATGTTCATCCGATAAGAAAATTTATCCGATAAGCACTTACCAAATAAACGTTTAATAAACGAGCCCTAACTCGCTTCAACTACATTCCCTTTGTACCCTTTTGTTTTATTATTTGTAATAAAAAAATAAATTATTTAATTGTATTTTACAGTATAAAAACACAAAATAAATAAGTTACTAAATATAATACAAAATATTGATTAATATTTTAAATATTAACCAATGCGTATAATAATTATATATAATATTAACATTTAAAATATAGATGTCAGTAAAATAAAAACACAAAATAAATAAATTACTAAATATAATACAAAATATTGGTTAATATTTAAAAAAATATTAATCAATACGTATAATAATTATATAATAATAATAACATTTAAAACATATATGTCAATATTTGACCTTTAAATATGTAAGTCAAATTAAAAAACTTTTATTTTTTATTGCTTGGTTTCTGAGTCGAAAACAATTGAACAATCCAATATACTATTTGTTGTTTAAAAAATCTCAACCTAACATAACTCAAATAAAATTACAACTAACTCAATCCAAACCATACTGGTTGGGTTGGCTTTAATGGAGTTGAAATTATGATACATCATTTTATAATCTAGCTAAATATTTGTGTTTAAACGGAGTAATGTGAAAATAAGATGGACAAAAAAAAAAATAGCAAATTCAGTTTTTTTAAGGTTCATGCAAATAAAAAATAAAATTACAGTTGAAATTGTAATATAATTTTGAATATTACTAATTATGAGTTTCTCTAATGTCAAATAAATATATATTAATTAAGGACTTAACAATCATATTAAATCTATATTATAGAAAAGCGTTGGGTTTATTTACTTGAGTTGAGTTCAAATTACCCTAACCCAATTACAACATGATAAATACGGTTCAGTCTCTACTTATATCAGGTATGGTTGGGTTGGGTTGGTCAGGTTCAGGGACGAATCCACTTTGATGCCACTGTATTATTCATCAGTCAAAAGAAACAAATTTAGGTTCATGAAATACGAAACAATATCGATTTGTTGTGTGCCATCATATATATTTTGAAATTACAATAATGATATATGTTTTTCCTGCTAGAATTGGTTTGCAATACTTTTCTTCCACTCCAGACCCGAGTTTGAATCATGTTGGTGTCATTTTCTTAGTTTTAACTTTTAGTTTCAGATTTATTATGTTTCTGAAAAAAAAAAATACAACAAAAGACTTTGAACACAAGATTTCACATATGAAAAATAATAAAAACAACAGACTAATTATAATGTTGTGAAAAATACATCGATATTTGTTTCTTATAATCAAACTGTATCACCGTTTGAAAAAACATAATCAAGTCCCAATCGGGTTGGACGGGTTTTTAAGGTTTCCTGACTACAAACCAAATCTTAGATGGATGCGTATGATGCATTTTTTTCCAACAAAATTAAACCGTTCCCAAACGGCATGTAAGAGAGTGGAGTTTGTACGTTTGTGAATTGTCTTGTGTGCAATAGAATGAATTGATACTAAAATAAAACAATATTTTAATAGGGACTGTTTCCATCAAACGTAACAATCTCAGGGGCTGAAATTGCAAAATACGTTGTCTTTGGTATTGACATTTCCGTCCTCCCTACGGCTATATCGTTGTCTTTTATTTCTTTATCATTGTTTCGATTCAAAAACACATAGAGACGTTGTTGGCTTTTAGCTTTTGCCTTCTTTCCCCTTTTAAATCGAAACCCTCGCATCGTTCTTCCCCAACTCCAATGCTTTTTTGTTGTTGTAGAAAAATATCATCACTTTCTTTCTAACTTTGGAAATCTTGACCACAATTAAAGAGCTCAAAGTCTGTTTTGTTCATGTATGCTCGTAAATAATCACCATATCAAGCACGAAAACAGAACCCAGATTGGTTTCGTCTTGGTTACTTTCAGGAGCAGAAGAAGTTTTTGGGTTTGAATTTGTGGAAATCGTAGGGTTTTGATTTTGTGGGTGAAGGGTTGCAGGTTTAGATGGAAAATTCAAGTGATAAAAGTATGAAAAATGATGGGTTTGATTCGTTTGACAGTACTACAAGTAGTTCGAATTCGGATACTTCTTCTAAAGAATGTTGTTCTTCCCCTACTCCTCTTGGGTGGCCTATTAGAAAGGCTCAATTGATGGAAAAATGTGGCGATGTTTCAGAAGATAAAGTGAAAATAAACCCCCAATTGGATGATGATTCCAAATTGAAGAAAATGGGTTCCAGAATTTCAGGTTAGTAGCTCTGATTTGGATTTTGTTTGATTCAATTCCTAAATGGGTTTTTGGGGAAATGCTAAATGAAATTTGGGGGGGTTTGCTGTTCTAGGGTTCATATGTCTGTGTTTATGCATTTCAAACTGATTGTTTACATCAATTTTATGTTTGTTTATTGAAAAACTTGAATCTGCTTAGAAATATGACCTTTTTGTGAATTAACACTTTCTTGTTTCAATTGAATCTGGTTAGAAATGGAGATGATGAAAGAGAGATTTGCTAAATTATTGCTTGGAGAAGACATGTCTGGTAGTGGCAAAGGGGTCTGCACAGCTTTGGCCATTTCAAATGCCATTACAAACCTTTGTGGTAACTAAACCTTAAACCCTAAACCCAAAATGAAGAACATGTTTGTTCTTGTGATTAATGGGTGTACTAATTTGTTGTATTTTTGGTACAGCTACTGCATTTGGTCAATTGTGGAGATTGGAACCCTTGAGATCTGAAAAGAAACAAATGTGGCAAAGAGAGATGGAATGCCTTCTTTGTGTTAGCGATCACATTGTCGAATTAATACCATCATGGCAGACGTTTCCAGATGGAAGTAAGCTCGAGATCATGACTTGCAGACCAAGATCAGACATTTTCATCAACCTCCCGGCTCTTCGCAAATTAGACAACATGCTTCTGGTTGGTGTTCATTGGTTTTCGCTTTAATTATATCAGATTATATTGTCATCTTGCTTGTTAGCTAGTTTTTGCCAAAAGAAAGCGATGATCACATTTTTTTTTTAATTTATAGGAAATACTAGATAGTTTCATTAGCACGGAGTTCTGGTACGTTGATCAGGGGATAGTTGCACCAGAGGCCGATGGTGCAGGCTCTTTCCGCAAACCACTCCAACGGCACCAGGAGAAATGGTGGCTGCCGGTGCCCCGTGTCCCTGCTGGTGGCCTCCAAGAAGACACCAGGAAACAGTTAAACCACAAGCGCGAATGCACTAATCAGATTCTAAAAGCAGCCATGGCAATTAACAACATTGCTTTATCGGAAATGGAAGTTCCAGAATCATACTTTGAATCCCTCCCAAAGGTATCATAACCAAAACGATCACTCGTTTCTAATTTTAACACGTTTTAATTAGGATCGAATGCTGACTATGAATCTATAATCTGGTTTCTAGAATGGGAGAACTTGTCTAGGAGACGTTATCTATCGTTATATATCTTCAGAGCAATTCTCATCAGAGTGTTTGTTAGATTGTCTTGATCTTTCATCCGAACATGTTGCTCTCGAGATTGCAAACCGTGTGGAGGCATCAATCTATGTGTGGCGTAAAAGGGTTCACTCTAGACCTTTACCTAACCCAAACCGATCTGCGGCTAAAGCCTCGTGGGACATGGTTAAGGACCTAATGGCCGATGGGTACAAGAGGGATTCACTAGCCGAAAGAGCCGAAAGTCTCTTGATGTGCCTCAAACATCGGTTTCCTGGTCTAACTCAAACCTCATTAGACATCAGCAAGATTCAACACAATAAGGTACTTGAAAGCAGGAATCTTGCTAACTTTCTTGGAAACCTTCTTAATTACTTGGTTTGATTTTGATTTTGATTTTGATTTTGTGAACCTTCAGGATGTTGGAAAATCGATCTTGGAGAGCTACTCAAGAGTCTTGGAGAGTTTAGCATTCAACATCGTGGCACGTATAGACGATCTACTTTACGTGGACAACTTGACTCGACAATCAGATAATCCGTCAACCACGGCCGACGTAATCGCTCACAAACGAGTCTCGATCCCGTGTATATCATCTTCAGGGACGCCCTACAAGTCTGCTTTCGGGACTCCAAAGTTTTCACCGGGACCCATTGCGCCGCCTGCAACGGGAGACCGAACTCCGTCGTTGAATGGCAATGGCAGCAACAAGCCGCCTAGACGGGGGTTTGGGGTGAAACGAGCGTTAACGAGCTATCTTGCTGGCGACACAAAGGTAAAGAGTAACTGTCAGTTGCTCGAAGGCCCTGGCTGTCTTTCGACTAGAAACTCAGAAATGCCGCCAGCTCGTAGCAGCATCGACGGTCCATTGAGCCAGAAAGAGAACCAGAACCCGAGCAGGTTACCGACGATAGAGCGATGATATTTGATTGTGTTAAAGTTAATTTGTTGATTAGCTTACAGTACTGTTAAAAACAGTTGCAACAAAGTGAGGATTATTTACCCTCATGGTTGACTTTTGTATTTGTTGTGGAAGATTGTTGACCCATTTGATTTTAATGAGTGTACTTTATGTTTTTGTATCTAAATATAACATATATTTGCAATAATCCCCATATCTACCACCGGCGGCTGTTGTTGGATCTCCGGCGACGGCGAGTCTTGCTTTTCCGATGTCTGATTCAAAATTTCAAATAGATTCATGTCACGTGATGGGGGGCAGTGTCACGGGCAGTGGGTGACAGAGAATTGGATGTGGGTGACGCCTGCAGTGCACGCTCCTGCTTTCACAGTTTCTTTCACTCATTGAAATTTAGCATTATTAATTACCGTCGCGCCCAACCCGTTCAAATAATTCCCTTTTTCAACTGAAAACACAGGTAAACCGTTTACCCTTTACTTACCCGGTAAGTATTTACTGATAAGAGTCAACACTATGATTTATTTTGATGCATAAGATTTTAGTATATCAAAACATATAGAATGCAACAATTTAGTGGGTAAGCGTTTACTTGGGTAAGAGTCGTCATCCTCACTTACCGATTAAGACTCTCCATCATTCTCGTCGCTCTTACCCGGTAAGATTCTTGACCTTTCTCATGTTCATCCGATGAGAAAATTTATCTGGTAAGTACTTACCAAGTAAGTGTTTAGTAAACGACCCCTAACACTTACAGCTGATAAGATATCTGGTAATTGAAAGACTAACCGATAAGTTGTGAATTATAATTGATAAACATTCACATTTACATACCAACATGTTCATAACAAAAAGTTAAGTGTGAATGCTCGCTTGTATAATGATGTTACTCACCATAAAATGTGTGATTTATCTACCGGATTAACCTCATAATATTGGTGCAAGACGTATTTTGAAGCATTGTAAATCATGGTACATTTAGATCTGAATGTTAATTCGCTTTACATTATTGCATTCAAAATACATATAAGTTGGTTTGAACATTCACAGTAAAAAAAAAACTACAGTTTTTAAATATCTATAAAAATAATATTTATTGGCTAATGGGGTTGGTAAGATGAGGTTTTGTGAAGAAAAAAATGTCCACTTTCTCGTCTAGTCTATGATTACGAGAATAACACATAAGATTTTTTTTTGGGTGTTTGGAATTGCTTATAAAAACAATTTATTGACTTATTCCGGTATGACATCAGTAATAAGCACTTTTGAGTGTTTGGATAAACAATTTATACTGGTGCCAAACCGGTAATTAGGAGTTTTTGAAGAAGTTAAACCCTTCTGACTTATAATAAGTTGATAAGTGTTTTTGTTGAAAAAGCACAAGTTGTTTCAAATAAACAATCTCAAACACCCCCTTAAAATGTATCAATAAACAATCGATAAAATTTCCAGTTTTCTTAAAAACAAAGAATGTAAAGATTTTTGGCACGTATATAGCTTTAATTACTTTTATGAGTGTTAAAAAAATGACATTTGGGTTTTTATGCCTCGAACCGGATGTTATGTAAATAAATATCTGGGGTTGGGATCGTGTGAGAAGTAAAGTTAAAATAAGAAGCATAAAAAGGGATTTGGACCCTTGATCACCTTTAATCTCAAACTCACTCATGAATCATGCTTGATACGGGATTGATCTCATAGTGTACATCCAACTTTCATATGTTTTTTATATTAACTATCTTTCTCATCGGAACCAATCATGTTGTAACAATATATAAGAGGAAGATATTAATGCATCCTTAGTGTAGAAAGCACCATGTTTATAGTGCTTTTTAATTATGGCAAGATATATCGAATACGAATCAAGTATTTGATGTCTAAAATCACGAAACCAACCTAAAATTCTAAATGCCTCAAACCGGACTTATGAAGGACCCGGGGTGTTTGTACCAGTTTAATCGATTTTTGCCAGTAGAATTTTTTTTTGTATAAAAATTTCATATGCTAAATTTTCAAGGGTGCTCCATGATATTAAAAAAACACAAGAGTCATCAACCAAAAATTCGAAAAAAGCCTCTTGAAATCGACAAAAACCCGAAAAAAAGTCCATAGAAATCAACAAAAAAAAAAAACTTAAAAACCCTCTCGAAGCGGTGGAGTTTGGCTAAAAACACACCGGGCTTACACTTAAGGCGTAGTCTTGCCTCTTGCTTAAAAGATCAATTCCATTTGAAAAAAAAGTACTTTATTTCCCGAATCGACATAATTGACCTTCACCATGTCAAACTGTGTTGACTTTTCCACGTGATCAAACCGCACCTTACTTGCTTTTCATCCACCTTAAAGATGCAAGTGTATGACCACTTGACAAAAATTCTGGACCCACCACTAATTAATCAATCCTATATATGGACATAAGAATGGACCTACTCCACTTGAAATCAGTCCATAAACTTATATTAAATAAAAAATCTGATATGGATTCATGTGACCGATGGACAAGAAAAACGATAAACAAAACTTGTAACGAAGTATACGGGCTCTCCAAACGTGGCTTCGACGTGACGCTTTGTTCCGGGATGTTCTAAGTTTTTGGTTTCTTTTTGGGTTATGTATTGCTATAGAGGTATTAATCAATGATCCCACCCACATACCAAAACTTTGATGGTGCTTCCTCCATTACCATTAAATAGATAGTGTAACCAACTTTGTTTATAGCCAAAAACCACTATAAAACCCCATGAATCCACAGCTGCTTCTCATTCACAAATGGCAGCTTCAATGAAACTTGTGCACTTGTTTGGTGGTGTTCTTGTTGTTCTTGTGATAATAACTGGGCTGAGTGAAGTAAATGGAGCTGGTGAATGTGGTAAAGCGAATCCTGATATGGAAGCGTTCAAGCTTGCACCTTGTGCATCTGCTGCACAAGATGTGAACGCTTTTGTCTCTGGGCGCTGCTGCGCCCAGGTCAAGAAACTAGGGAGAAACCCGAAATGTCTGTGTGCCGTGATGCTGTCTAATACAGCCAAGAGTTCCGGGATTAAGCCAGAGATTGCCATGACCATTCCTAAGCGATGCAATATCGCTGATCGGCCTGTTGGTTATCAATGTGGAGGTTGGTTTTTATTCATTTGTTAACCTATGGTTTTAGATGTTTTTATAAGGCTGACCAGTTGGAAAATTTTGCTTTGCAGCTTATACATTGCCTTGAAAGATTGAAGGGTGCTGGGTTTCCATTGGAATGATGTATGTATGAATGTTGTATGGGTGAGTTTGAAATTGTGCTTTGAATAAATCCCATTTTCTTGGTTCTTGATGATATTGTTTTTGTTTGCTTTTATGTTGCGATAAATTATGTTTGAACATAAAGTCTAAATCGAATTGGAACCGTTTCAAGACTTTGCAAATCCATCTCTAAAAGTTGTTGGAGTACCAATATTCCGCTGTATATGATGGGAACTTCATTCTCTACTCAAACGACTCTTTTGGAGAGTAATCTGATTTGGTTTCACATTATCTCACATGGTATCAAAGTCAATGTCTACTACTCTAGGGACTCAATACTCTCAGACCTGTTGGAACAGGCGTGGTGGAATCCCACATCAACTAGACTTGGACAATTCATCCCTAGAACCTTCATTCTCTCTTTGAAGAGAATCTAATTCACATTCCCGCATTGTATCAAAATGAAAGTCTATCGCTCTAGAAACTCTATACTCTAGAACAATATGTGTCCGTCTAGCCTCTGTTGGAAGAGGTATGTTGGAGTTTTACATCAACCAAATTTGGACAATTTCTCTTCCATATACGTTAGAACCTCTATTCTCTCCTCAAAGACTCTTTTGAACAGTAATATAACCGGGTTCCATATATTCTCAGAAAAGCCATTGATACATGTAACATTATTATTGTCAAATAAATACATGTATGTGCTGGGTACACCAAACCAAAAGATGCACAAAACGGCCGTTGGCGTAGATCAATCCTGTGCGGACCGCTTAAAACCGAGACCAGTCATATTTCAGTCAAAATCAATTTAAACAAGAAAACAAGTTACAACTGTCGACAAAAAGGGCTTTCAGAAAAGAAATCAATATTACAACACTAGACTCTGATTGAACACAAAATAAGTAGCCAAAAATATGACTGGTGAACACTTGAAAACTAAGACACATCACAAGTCCTTGAAATGATGTTTTCCCTAATTTGCCATATCCTATACCTTTCATTCAACAGTAGAAATGGAGGCCAGGTTTTCAATAGTAGAGAGATCCTGCAGAAACAAAGAAACAGGACAGTTGGTTACCCTTTATGATAACTAGTATGGGAACCGCGCGTTGCGCGGTAGTATGAGTGCTTTGATTAATGATCT